AGGGAGGTGACACTTCGGAGGTGACAGGGACTGGGAGGTGACACTTCGGAGGTGACATGGAGACAGAGATGTCACTGTGGAGGTGACAAGGACAGGGAGGTGTCACTGTGGAGGTGACAGGAACATGGATGTGTCACTTGGGAAAGGGACAGGGACATGGAGGTGTCACCGTTCAGGTGACAGGGACGTGGAAGTGTCACTGTGGAGGTGACAGGGACAGGGAGGTGTCACCGTGGAGGTGGCAGGGACACGGAGTTGTCACTCTGGAGGTGACAGGGACAAGGGGGTGTTGATTTTGGGGTGACAGGAACATGGATGTGTCACCGTGAAGGTGACAGGGACAGGGCGGTGTCACTCTGGAGGTGACGGGGACATGGAGATGTTGCTGTGGAGGTGACAGGGACCTGGAGGTGGCACTGTGGTGGTGACAAGGAAATGGAGTTGTTGTTCTGCAGGTGACAGAGTGGTTCTGGAGGTGACAAGGACACAGGTGCTGCTCTGCAGGTGATGTTGGGGACGCAGGTTTTGCCGTGCAGGTGACAAGGACAAAGAGAGAGCTCTGGAGGTGACAGGGACATGGAGGTGTCCCTGAGGAGGTGTTGGGGACAGGGAGATGTCACTCTGGAGGTGACAGGGACATGGGGGTGTCCCTTAGGATGTATTGGGGACCGGGTGATGTCATTCTGAAGGTGACAGGGACATGAAGGAGTTGATGTGGAGGTGTTGGGGACAGAGATGGCTCTGGAGGTGACAGGGACACGGAGGTGTCCCTAAAGAGGTGTTGGGGACATGAAGATGGCTCTGGAGGTGACAGGGACATGGGAGTGTCCCTAAAGATGTCTTTGGGACATGGAGATGTCGCTCTGGAGGTGACAGGGACATGGAGATGTCCCTGAGGAGGTGTTGGGGACACAGGGATGGCTCTGGAGGTGACAGGGACACGGAGGTGTCCCTAAAGAGGCGTTGGGGACATGGAGATGTCACTCTGGAGGTGACAAGGACATGGAGGGGTCAATGTAGAGGTGTTGGGGACATGGAGGTGACACTCTGGAGGTGACAAGGACACAGGTGTTGCTCTGCAGGTGATGTTTGGGACACAGATTTTGGTGTGCAGGTGACAAGGACAAAGAGAGAGCTCTGGAGGTGACAAGGACATGGAGATGTCCCTGAGGAGGTGTTGGGGACAGGGAGATGTCACTCTAGAGGTGACAGGGACATGAAGGGGTCGATGTGGAGGTGTTGGGGACACAGGGATGGCTCTGGAAGTGACAGGGACATGGAGGTGTCCCTGAGGAGGTGTTGGGGACAGAGATGGCTCTGGAGGTGACAGGGACACGGAGGGGTCAGTGTGAAGGTGTTGGGGACAGGGAGATGTCACTCCGGAGGTGACAGGGACATGGAGGTGACCCTAAGGATGTGTTGGGGACAGGGAGATGTCACTCTGGAAGTGACAGGGACATGGAGATGTCCCTAAAAATGTGTTGGGGACACGGCCATGTCACTCCGGAGGTGACAGGGACATGGAGGTGACCCTTAGGATGTATTGGGGACCGGGTGATGTCATTCTGAAGGTGACAGAGACATGGAGATGACCCCAAGGATGTGTTGGGGACACGGCCATGTCACTGTGGAAGTGACAGGGATACGGAGGTGTTGGGGACCCAGGGATGGCTCTGGAGGTGACAGGGACACGGAGGTGTCAGTGTGAAGGTGTTGGGGACACGGCCATGTCACTAAATCCATCCCGGGGCTCCCAAATCCCAGATCTGGGGGTCCCAAATTCCTCCTAGAATTCCCAAATCCCATTCAGGGATCCCAAATCTGGGGCTCCCAAATCCCAAATCTGGAGCTCCCAAATCTGGGGCTCCCAAATCCAATCCTGGTGTTCCCAAATTCCACCCAAAGCTCCCAAATCCCTTTCGGGGCTCCCAAATCCCACCCGGGGCTCCCAGATCCATCCCGGAGCTCCGAAATCCCATCTGGGGCTGCCTAATCCCAAATCTAGGGCTGCCAAATCGGGGGCTCCCAAATCCTTCCTGGAATTCCCAAATCCCATTCAGGGCTCCCAAATCCCACCCAAAGCTCCCAAATCCATCCTGGATTTCCCAAATCCTTCCTGGAATTCCCAAATCCCAAATCTGGGGCTCTCAAATCCCACCCGGGGCTCTCAAATCCCACCCGGGGCTCCCAAATCCCTTTCAGGGCTCCCAAATCCCAAATCTGGGGCTCCCAAATTCTAGTCCTGGAGCTCCCAAATCCCTCCTGGAATTCCCAAATCCCACCTGGAGCTCCCAAATCCTTCCTGGAATTGCCAAATCTCAAATCTGGAGCTCGCAAATCCCATTCAGGGCTCCCAAATCTGGGGCTCCAAAATCCCTTCTGGAATTCCCAAATCCCACCCAAAGCTCCCACATCCCAAATCTGCGGCTCCCAAATCCCTCCTGGACCTCCCAAATCCCTCCTGGATCTCCCAAAATCCATCCTGGGGCTCCCAAATCCCAAATCTGGGGCTTCCAAATCCCACCCAAAGCTCCCAAATCCTTCCTGGAATTCCCAAATCCCAAATCTGGTGCTCCCAAATCCCATTCAGGGCTCCCAAATCCCTCCTGGATCTCCCAAATCCCTCCTGGAATTCCCAAATCCAATCCTGGTGTTCCCAAATCCCACCCAAAACTCCCAAATCCCTTTCAGGTCTCCCAAATCCATCCCGGGGCTCCCAAATCCCAAATCTGGGGCTCCCAAATCCCTCCTGGAATTCCCAAATCCTCGGCAATCTCAGGATTTGGGATCCTGTTGGATCCCGGATTTCGGGATCATCCCGATCCCCATCCCGGTTTTTTTTTGGGAATGGGGGGGTTGGGCTGTGTCCCCTCCGGGCGCGGCGACGTTTTTGGGCGGATTTGGGATTTTTTGGGGTTTTGTCGCCTCTGAAAATGAAAGGGGAAAATGGGGCTGGGTCGGGTGGGGGTGGGGTCACCACGGAGGGGGTGACAGTGACAGGGAGGTGGCACTGTGGGGGTGACAGGGACACAGAGGTGGCACTGTGGGGGTGACAATGACAGGGAGGTGGCACTGTGGGGGTGACAATGACAGGGATGTGTCACTGTGGGGGTGACAATGACAGGGAGGTGGCACTCTGGGGGTGACAGGGACAGGGAGGTGGCACTGTGGGGGTGACAGGGACAGGGAGGTGTCACTGTGGGGGTGACAATGACAGGGAGGTGGCACTGTGGGGGTGACAGGGACAGGGAGGTGTCACTGTGGGGGTGCTGCTCTGCGGGTGATGTTGGGGACACAGATTTTGCCGTGCAGGTGACAAGGACAAAGAGAGAGCTCTGGAGGTGACAAGGACATGGAGATGTCCCTAAAGAGGTGTTGGGGACATGGCAATGGCTCTGGAGGTGACAGGGACATGGAGATGTTGGTTTGGAGGTGACAAGGACATGGAGATGTCCCTAAAGAGGTGCTGGGGACAGAGGGATGGCTCCGGAGGTGACAGGGACATGGAGGTGTCCCTTAGGATGTATTGGGGACCGGGTGATGTCATTCTGAAGGTGACAGAGACATGGAGGTGACCCCAAGGATGTGTTGGGGACAGGGAGATGTCACTCTGGAGGTGACAGGGACATGGGGGTGTCCCTTAGGATGTATTGGGGACCGGGTGATGTCATTCTGAAGGTGACAGGGACATGAAGGAGTTGATGTGGAGGTGTTGGGGACAGAGATGGCTCTGGAGGTGACAGGGACACGGAGGTGTCCCTAAAGAGGTGTTGGGGACATGAAGATGGCTCTGGAGGTGACAGGGACATGGGAGTGTCCCTAAAGATGTCTTTGGGACATGGAGATGTCGCTCTGGAGGTGACAGGGACATGGAGATGTCCCTGAGGAGCCTTTTTCCCCATTTCCCTTTTTCCCCTTTCCCCTTTTCCCTTTCCCCCCCTTTTCCCATTTTTCTCTTTTCACCCTTTTTCCCCTTTTCCCTTTCTCCCTTTTCACTTTTCCCACTTCCCCTTTTCCCTTTTCCCTCCTTTCCCCTTTCCCCTTTCCCCTTTCCCCCTTTTCTCTTCCCCCTTTTCCCTTTCCCCCCCTTTTCCCAATTTCCCTTTTTCTCCATTTCACTTTTCTCCTTTCCCCCTTCACTTCTGCCCTTTTTCCTTTTCCCCATTTCACTTTTCCCCTTTTCCCCTTTCCCCCTTTCCCCATTTCCCTTTTCCCTTTCCCTTTTTTCCCCTTTCCCCTTCCCTCTTTTCCCTTTCCACCCTTTCCCCATTTTCCCCTTTCCCCCCTTTTCCCCCTTTTCCCCCTTTTCCCATTTCCCGTTTCCCCCTTCTCCCCATTTTTCCCTCTTTTCCCCCTTTCCCCCTTTCCCTTTCCCCTTTTTCCCCTTTCCCTTCCCTCTTTTCCCTTTCCCCTTCCACCCTTTCCATCCTTTTCCCCTTTCCCCCTTTTCCCTTTTCCCCATTTCCCCTTTGTCCCTTTCCCCTTTTCCCTTTCCCATTTCCCTTTCCCTTTTCCCCCTTTCCCCATTTCCCCTTTTTCCCCTTTCCCCATTTCCCCTTTTCCCCTTTCCCTTTTTCCCTTTGTCCCTTTCCCTTTTTCCCTTTTTTCCCTTTTTCCCTTTTTTCCCCTTTTCCCCCTTTCCCCCTTTCCCCCTTTCCCCATTTCCCTTTTCCCTTTCCCTTTCCCTTTTCCCCCTTTTCCTCCTTTTCCCTTTTTCCCTTTGTCTCTTTCCCATTTCCCTTTCCCCTTTTCACTTTTCCCCTTTTCCCTTTTCCCCTTTTCCCCTTTCCCCTTTTTCCCCCTTTCCCCCTTTCCCTTTTTCCCCCTTTCCCCGTTTTCCCCCTTTTCCCTTTTTCCCCCTTTCCCCCTTTCCCCCTTTTTCCCCTTTCCCCCTTTCCCATCCCCCTTTCCCTTCCCCTTCCCGTTCCCCCCGACCCCGCGGGTGCGCCATTCCCGCAGGGAAGGGATGCTCCTCTCCTAACGCCCCGGCTGTCCCGAGGATGAGCGCCGTTCCCGAGCCCCTGGCCCGGCCCCGCAGCAGCTCCTGCCGCAGCCTCTCCGGGACCCTGGAGGCCATGGGAACACCGGAGACGGATCGGGATCAGCGGGATCGGGATCCCCGGGACGACTGGGACCCCGAGGAGACGCAGATCCTCAAGGTTTGCTTCTACAGCAACAGCTTCAACCTGGGCCAGAACTTCAAGCTGGTCAAGTGCTCCATGGCCACCGAGATCCGGGTAGGTGGGAAAGGGGTCGGGAATTCGTTCGGGGCTGGGAATGGGAGTTCGGGGCTGGGATTGGGAATTTGAGGCTGGGACTGGGAATTTGGAACTCGGAATGGGAATTCGGGGCTGGGAATGGGAATTCGGGGCTGGGATTGGGAGTTCGGGGCTGGGATTGGGAATTTGGGGCTGGGAATGGGAATTCAGGGCTGGGAATGGGAATTTGGGGCTGGAAATGGGAGTTCAGGGCCAGGATTGGAAATTCAGGGCCAGGATTGGGAATTTGGGGCTGGGAATGGGAATTCGGGGCTGAAAATGAGAACTTGGAGCTGGGAATGGGAATTTGGGGCTGGGATTGGGAATTCGGGGCTGAAAATGAGAATTTGGGGCTGGGAATGGGAATTCGGGGCTGGGATTGGGAGTTCAGGGCTGGGATTGGGAATTCGGGGCTGAAAATGAGAATTTGGAGCTGGGAATGGGAATTTGGGGCTGGGAATGGGAATTCGGGGCTGGATTGGGAATTCGGGGCTGGGATTGGGAATTCGGGGCTGGAAATGGGAATTCGGGGCTGGGAATGGGAATGTGGGGCTGGGAATGGGAAATCGGGGCTGGGATTGGGAATTCGGGGCTGGGAATGGGAATGTGGGGCTGGGAATGGGAAATCGGGGCTGGGATTGGGAGTTCGGGGCTGGGAATGGGAATTTGGGGCTGGGATTGGGAATTCAGGGATGGATTGGTTGGATCCAGCTCCTTCCAGACGCGTTTCCCATGTGGTTGAGGAACACCCAAGGATGGTGGGATTGGGAATTCGGGGCTGGAAATGGGAATTTGGAGCTGGGAATGGGAAATTCAGGGCTAGGATTGGGAATTTGGGGCTGGGAACAGAAATTTGGGGCTGGGAATTGGAATTCGTGGCTGGATTGGGAATTTGGGGCTGGGAATGGGAATTCGGGGCTGGAAATGAGAATTTGGAGCTGGGAATGGGAATTTGGAGCTGGGAGTGGGAGTTCGGGGCTTGGATTGGGAATTAGGGGCTGGGAATGGGAATTCGGGGCTGGATTGGGTGGATCTGGCTCCTTCCAGCCGCGTTTCCCCTGTGTTTGAAGAGCGCCCAAGGATCCAGGGAATGCTTGGAGCCGCTTCCTGATCCCAAAGGGGCTCCAGGAGAGCTGGGATTTGGGAAAGGGCTGGAGGGCCAGGAGCCAGGGAATGGCTTCCAGTGGGAAAGGGGAGCTTGGGATGGTGGGATCTTGGGAAGGAATTCCCGGCTGGGCTGGAATTCCCAGAGAATCCCTGGCGGCGTCCCAGGAAAGCTTGGATCACCCCGGGATCGTGGGATTGAAGGTCCATGGATCCCATCCCAAACCATTCTGGGATTCTGGGATCATGGGCATTCGGAATCCATCCCCAGGGATTTTTGTGGAATTTTATGGGGATGGAAAAGGGAAGGGAGATCCGAGATTCCCAGTGAAGCCCCTGGATCCCGAAATTCCTTCTCCAGGAGGAATCGGGATGGGGCTGGATCCAATGCCAGGCTGGGAGAGCTGGGAATGTGCAGCTGGATCAGGGAAGGATCCAGGGAATCCTTGGAGCCTTTTCCAGAGGGGCTCCAGGAGAGCTGGGATTTGGGCAAGGGCTGGAGGGCCAGGAGCCAGGGAATGGCTTCCAGTGGGAAAGGGGAGCTTGGGATGGTGGGATCTTGGGAAGGAATTCCCGGCTGGGCTGGAATTCCCAGAGAATCCCTGGCGGCGTCCCAGGAAAGCTTGGATCACCCCGGGATCGTGGGATTGAAGGTCCATGGATCCCATCCCAAACCATTCTGGGATTCTGGGATCATGGGCATTCGGAATCCATCCCCAGGGATTTTTGTGGAATTTTATGGGGATGGAAAAGGGAAGGGAGATCCGAGATTCCCAGTGAAGCCCCTGGATCCCAAAATTCCTTCTCAAGGAGGAATCGGGATGGGGATGGATCCAATGCCAGGCTGGGAGAGCTGGGAATGTGCAGCTGGACCAGGGAAGCATCCAGGGAATCCTTGGAGCCTTTTCCAGAGGCTCCAGGAGAGCTGGGATTTGGGCAAGGGCTGGAGGGCCAGGAGCCAGGGAATGGCTTCCAGTGGGAAAGGGGAGCTTGGGATGGTGGGATCTTGGGAAGGAATTCCCGGCTGGGCTGGAATTCCCAGAGAATCCCTGGCAGCATCCAAGGAAAGCTTGGCTCACGGGTCACCATTTCATCCCCTTTCCCACCCAAACCCCCGATCCCCGCCCTCGCCCCATCCCGGTTTTTCCCCCCTTTTTTCCAGGAGGTGATCCGCTCCATCCTGGCGAGCGGGCGGATCGGGCCGGACATCCGCCTCTCCCAGTGCTACGGGCTGCGCCTCAAGCACGTCAAGTCCAACGAGATCCACTGGCTGCACCCGCGGCTGACCGTGGGCGAGGTGCACAGGAAGTACGAGCGCCTCCACCTGCAGGCCGAGTGGAGGTGGGACACACCCCCCGGGGGGCACCCACCCCTTCCCCGCGTCCCCTCGGAATTCCCGGGGCCGGGAACGGCGGCCTCGCCGATCGGCGTCGGCCACGCTGGTCCCAGTTCCAGATGCGCGGCTTCCAAATGGAAACGGGAGTTGGTTGGGTGTTGGTTACGTATCAATGGAAAATGGCATTTTGGCAGAAGATGCATTGGGGTTTTTAGCTATAAGGGCGTGTTTATGGTAAAGAGGTTAATTGCCTTAAAAATTTGAAAAAACGTGGGACAGTAGAGATAATTTCCAGATATTTGTCTTCAAAATGAAAATTTCAGAGAGTTGGTTGGTTGTTGGTTACGTATCAGTGGAAAATGGCATTTTGACAGAAGATGAATTTGGCTATAATGGTGTTTTTATGGTAATGAGGTTAATTGCCTTAAAAATTTGGAAAAAATTTGGGACAGTAGAGATAATTTCCAGATATTTGTCTTCAAAATGAAAACTTGAGAGAGTTGGTTGGTTGTTGGTTACGTATCAGTGGAAAATGGCATTTTGACAGAAGAAGAATTTTGGCTTTTTGGCTATTAGAGCGTGTTTACGGTAATGAGGTTAATTGCCTTAAAAAGTTGGTAAACAATGGGGCAGCAGAGATAATTTCCAGATATTTGTCTTCAAAATGACAACTTGAGAGTGTTGGTTGATTACTGGTTACGTATCAATGGAAAATGCCATTTTGGCAGAAGAAGAATTTTGGCTTTTCAGCTATAATGGTGCATTTATGGCAATGAGGTTAATTGCCTTAAAATTTGGAAAAAAAATTGGGACAGTAGAGATAATTTCCAGATGTGTGTGCTCAAAATGGAAACTTCAGAGAGTTGGTTGATTGTTGGTTATGTATCAATGGACAATGGCATTTTGGCAGAGGATTAATTTTGGCTTTTCGGCTATAAGGGTGTTTTTATGGTAATGAGGTTAATTGCCTTAAAAATTTGGAAAAAAGTGGGACTGTAGAGATAATTTCTAGATACTTGTCTTCAAAATGGAAACTTCAGGGAGTTGGTTGATTGTTGGTTATGTATCAATGGACAATGGCATTTTGGCAGAGGATTAATTTTGGCTTTTCGGCTATAAGGGTGTTTTTATGGTAATGAGGTTAATTTCCTTAAAAATTTGGAAAAAAATGGGGCAGCAGAGATAATTTCCAGATATTTGTCTTCAAAATGGAAACTTCAAAAAGTAGGTTGATTATTGGTTACGTATCAATGGAAAACAGCATTTTGGCAGAAGATTAATTTGGCTGTAATGATGTTTTTATGGATAATGAGGTTAATTGCCTTAAAAATTTGAAAAAACGTGGGACAGTAGAGATAATTTCCAGATATTTGTCTTCAAAATGGAAACTTCAAAAAGTAGGTTGATTGTTGGTTACGTATCAATGAAAAATGGCATTTTGACTAAAGATTAATTTTGGCTTTTCGGCTATAAGGGTGTTTTTATGGTAATGAGGTTAATTGCCTTAAAAATTTGAAAAAAAGTGGGACAGTAGAGATAATTTCCAGATATTTGTCTTCAAAATGGAAACTTCAAAAAGTAGGTTGATTATTGGTTACGTATCAATGGAAAACAGCATTTTGGCAGAAGATTAATTTGGCTGTAATGATGTTTTTATGGATAATGAGGTTAATTGCCTTAAAAATTTGAAAAAAAGTGGGACAGTAGAGATAATTTCCAGATATTTGTCTTCAAAATGGAAACTTCAAAAAGTAGGTTGATTATTGGTTACGTATCAATGGAAAATGGCATTTTGGCAGAAGATGAATTTGGCTGTAATGGTGTATATCAATGGAAAACGGCATTTTGGCAGAAGATTAATTTTGGCTTTTCGGCTATAAGGGTGTTTTTATGGTAATGAGGTTAATTGCCTTAAAAATTTGGGAAAAAATGGGGCAGCAGAGCTAATTTCGGACCCTCGGATCTGCAGGTACGACCTGCAGATCCGCTACCTGCCGGAGGATTTCATGGAGAGCTTCAAGGAGGACAGGACCACGCTGCTCTACTTCTACCAGCAGGTCAGGAGCCCCCTCCCCGAATTCCCGGCATTCCCGGGATTCCCGAGGTCCCAAGGTTTTGTCGGCTTGGGGTGGCGGTGGTGGCGACGTCCCGCTGCTGGGAATGGGCAGCGGGGATGTCCAGGGATATTCAGGGATGTCCAGGGACATTCAGGGACATCCAGGGACGTCCAGGGACATTCAGGGATATCCAGGGATGTTCAGGGACATCCAGGGATAGTCAGGGATGTCCAGGAATATTCAGGGATGTCCAGGGACATCCAGGGTCATTCAGGGACATTCAGGGATGTCCAGGGACGTCCAGGAATATCCAGGGACATCCAGGGACATCCAGGGACATTCAGGGAGGTCCAGGGACATTCAGGGAGGTCCAGGGACATCCAGGGATAGTCATGGATGTCCAGGGACATCCAGGGATAGTCAGGGACATCCAGGGACATCCAGGGACGTCCAGGGATGTCCAGGGGTATCCAGGGATATCCAGGAACATCCAGGGACATCCAGGGATATGCAGGAATATTCAGGGACCTCTAGGGACATCCAGGGATATTCAGGAATGTCCAGGGACATTCAGGGATATTCAGGGACATTCAGGGACATCCAGGGATGTTCAGGGACATCCAGGGATAGTCAGGGATGTTCAGGGACATTCAGGAATATTCTGGGACATTCAGGGACGTCCAGGGACATCCAGGGACATTCAGGAACATCCAGGGATGTCCAGGGGTATCCAGGGATATCCAGGGACATCCAGGGATATGCAGAAATATTCAGGGACATCCAGGGATATTCAGAGACATTCAGGGATGTCCAAGGACACCCAGGGATATCCAGGGATATTCAGGGATGTCCGGGGACATCCAGGGACATGCAGAAATATTCAGGGACATCCAGGGATATTCAGAGACATTCAGGGATGTCCAGGGACATTCAGGGACATCCAGGGACGTCGAGGGACATCCAGGGACATCCAGGGACATCCAGGGACATTCAGTGATGTCCAGGGATAGTCAGGGACATCCAGGGATATCCAGGGACGTCCAGGGACATCCAGGGACATCCAGGGACATTCAGGGATGTCCAGGGACATCCAGGGACATCCAGGGACGTTCAGGGATGGGCAAGGGTGTGGGCAGTGCCAGCATCGCCTGTCACCATCCCTGTCACCGTCCCTGTCACTGTCCCCTGCTGCTTTGCCCTGTCACCATCCCTGCCACCAATCCCTGCCACCCATCCCTGTCACCAATCCCTGTCACCAATCCCTGTCACCATTCCTTGCCACCAATCCCTGTCACCATTGCCTGTCACCCCTCCCTGTCACCCATCCCTGTCACCATCCCTGCCACCAATCCCTGCCACCCATCCCTGTCACCATCCCTGTCACCATCCTTGCTATCATCCCCTGCCATTGTCCCCTGTCACCAATCCCTGTCACCATCCCTGCCATCAATCCCTGTCACCATCCCTGCCACCATTCCCTGTCACCATCCATGCCATTGTCCCCTGCCATTGTCCCCTGCCATTGTCCTCTGTCACCAATCCCTGTCACCATTCCCTGCCAGCATCCATTGCTGTCCCCGTTGTCCCCGCCAGTGTCCCCACAGTGACGCGCTGTCCCTGGGTGTCCCCACTGTCCCTGTAGTGTCCCTGCGGTGACGCGCTGTCCCTGGGTGTCCCCACTGTCCCTGCAGTGTCCCTGTGGTGACGCGCTGTCCCCGGGTGTCCCCGGGTGTCCCCGCTGTCCCTGGGTGTCCCCGCTGTCCCCGCGGTGACGCGCTGTCCCTGGGTGTCCCCACTGTCCCTGGGTGTCCCCGGATGTCCCCGCTGTCCCCGGGTGTCCCCATTGTCCCCCGTTGTCCCCGCGGTGACGCGCTGTCCCTGGGTGTCCCCACTGTCCCCACTGTCCCCGCTGTCCCTGCAGTGATGCCCTGTCCCTGCTGTCCCCCGTTGTCCCCACGGTGATGCGCTGTCCCTGGGTGCCCCGGGTGTCCCCGCTGTCCCCCGCTGTCCCCACTGTCCCCGCGGTGACGCGCTGTCCCCGGGTGTCCCCGCTGTCCCCGCTGTCCCTGCGGTGACGCGCTGTCCCTGCTGTCCCCCGTTGTCCCTGTGGTGACGCGCTGTCCCTGGGTGTCCTGGCTATCCCCGGGTGTCCCCACTGTCCCCGCGGTGACGCGCTGTCCCCCAGCTCCGCAGCGAGTACATGCAGAGCTACGCCAGCAAGGTCAGCGAGGGCATGGCGCTGCAGCTGGGCTGCCTGGAGCTCAGGTACGGCTGTCCCCTGTGTCCCCTGTGTCCCCCTCTGTGCCCCCTGTGTCCCCTGTGTCCCCTGTGTCCCCTGTGTCCCTTGATGTCCCCTGTGTCCCCTGTGTCCCCTGCCCCTTGTGTCTTTTTGTCATTTTGTCCCTGTGTCCCTTTGTCCCCTTGTGTCCCTGTGTCCCATTGTCGTCATGTGTCCCCTGGCCCTGTGTCCCCTTGTGTCCCCTGGCATCCCCTTGTCCCTTTGTGTCCCTGGCTCTGTGTCCTCTTGTCCCCTTGTGTCCTCTTGTTCCCATGTGTCCCCTGGCCCTGTGTACCTGTGTCTCCTTGTCCCCTGTGTCCCCCATGTCTCCTTGTGAACTTGTGTCCCTCTGTCCCTGTGTCCGTGTGTCCCGGTGTCTTTGTGTCCCCATGTCCCTCTGTCCTTGTGAACTTGTGTCTTTCTGTCCCTGTGTCCCTTTGTCCCCATGTCTCCCTTTGTCCCCATGTGTCCCTTTGTCCCCATGTGTCCCTCTGTCCCTGTGTCTTTGTGTCCCTGTGTCCCCTGTCCCTGTGTCCTTCTGTCCTTGTGTCCCCATGTCCCCTGTCCCCATGTCCCCTGTCCCTGTGTCCCCTGTCCCTGGGGACACGGGGGGACATTGGGACATGGGGACATGGAGACATGGAGGGACATGGGGAACATGGGGACGTGGGGGACATGGAGGGACATGGGGGCATGGGGACATGGAGGGATGAGGGATGTGGGGACACGGGGCCATGGGGACATGGGGGACATGGAGGGACATGGAGGGACATGGGGGACATGGAGGACATGGAGGGACATGGAGGGACATGAAGGGACATGGGGGACATGGAGGACATGGGGACATGGGGAATGGGGGACATGAGGAACATGGAGGGACATGGGGACATGGGGAATGGGGGACATGGAGGGACATGAGGGACATGGAGGACATGGAGGGACATGGGGACATGAGGACATGGAGGGGCATGTGGGACATGGGGACATGGAGGAACATGGGAACATGAGGACATGGAGGGACATGTGGGACATGGGGACATGGAGGGACATGGGGACATGGAGGGACATGGGGGACATGGAGGGACATTGGGACATGGGGACATGGAGGGACATTGGGACATTGGGACATAGGGACATGGGGGACATGGAGGGACATGGAGGGACATGAAGGACACAGGAATGTGGGGACATGAAGGACATGGAGGACATGGAGGGCCATGGGGACATGGTGGACATGGGGACATGGAGGGATGAGGGATGTGGGGACACGGGGCCATGGGGACATGGAGGGACACGGGGCCAGTCCCCTGTCCCTGTGTCCCTTGTCCCTGTGTCCCTGAGAACCTGTGTCCCTATGTCCCTGGTGTCCCTGGTGTCCCTGGTGTCCCTGTGCCCCCTGTGTCCCTGTGAACCTGTGTCCTTCTGTCCCTGTGTCCTTGTGTCCCTGTGTCCCCTGTCCCTGTGTCCCTTGTCCCTGTGTCCCTGAGAACCTGTGTCCCTATGTCCCTGGTGTCCCTGGTGTCCCTGGTGTCCCTGTGCCCCCTGTGTCCCTGTGAACCTGTGTCCTTCTGTCCCTGTGTCTTTGTGTCCCATGTCCCGGTGTCCCCTGTCCTTGTGTCCCCTGTCCCCAAGTCTCCCTGTGAACCTGTGTCCTTCTGTCCTTGTGTCCCTGTGTCCTTGTGGGGATGGGGAGGGAAGTTCCAGATCTTTTGGAGGTGGCAGAAGGACCTGGGGGACCTGGGGGACATGGGGAATGGGGGACATGGAGGGACACTGGGGACATGGAGGACATGGGGGACATGGAGACACATGGAAGGACATGGGGACATGGAGGGACATTGGGACATAGGGACATGGAGGACATGGAGGGACATGAAGGACACAGGAATGTGGGGACATGAAGGACATGGAGGGACATGGAGGGACATGGAGGGGCATGGGAACATGGGGACATGGGGGACGTGGGGGACATGGAGGGACATGGAGGGACATGGGGCACATGGAGGGACATTGGGACATAGGGAAATGGAGGGACATGGAGGGACATGAAGAACACAGGGATGTGGGGACATGAAGGACATAGAGGGACCCTCCTCACCTTCATCATGCTCCTCACCTTCATCATCCTCCTCATGCTCCTCATCCTCATCATCTTCATCATCCTCCTCATCCTCCTCATCTCCTCATCCTCCTCATCCTCCTCATCATCCTCATCCTCCCTCATGTCCTCATCCTCTATCATCATCCTCATCCTCATCATCCTCCTCATCCTCCTCATCCTCCCTCATCTCCTCATCCTCCTCATCCTCCTGTAGCTCCTCATCCTCCTCATCTCCTCATCCTCCCTCATCTCCTCATCTCCTCATCCTCATCATCCTCCTCATCTCCTCATCCTCCTCATCCTCCTGTAGCTCCTCATCCTCCTCATCTCCTCATCCTCCCTCATCTCCTCATCTCCTCATCCTCCTCATCTCCTCATCCTCCTCATCTCCTCATCCTCCTCATCCTCCTGTGTGTCCGTATGTCCCTGTGTGTCCGTGTGTGTGTGTCCATGTGTGTCCCTGTGTCCGTGGTCTGTGTGTCCATATGTGTCCTTGTGTCCATGTGTCTGTGTCCCTCTGTGTCTGTGTGTCCCTGTGTGTCCCTGTGTGTCCCTGTGTCCCTATGTCCATGTGTGTCCCTGTGTCCGCGGGTCCCTCTGTGTGTCCCTGTGTGTGTCCCTGTGTCTCTGTGTGTCTCTGTGTGTCCCTGTGTGTCCCTGTGTGTCCCATTCCTGTATCCCACCCTTCCCCCGTCCCGGTGTTCCCGTACCCCACACCACCCTCATCCCGGTATTCCTGTATCCGACACTGCGTCCATCCCGCTGTTCCCATATCCAATGCTGCATTCCCATATCCAACACCGTGTCCATCCCGGCATTCCCGTACCCCACCATGCCCCAATCCCGGTGTTCCTGTATCCAATGCCCCGTTCCCATATCCAACACCGTGTCCATCCTGGCATTCCTGTGCCCCACACCACCCCCATCCCGGTGTTCCCGTATCCAATGCCCCGTTCCCGTACCCAATGCCTCGTCCATCCCACTGTTCCCACATCCAATCTCCCATTCCCATATCCAGTACCTCCCCCATCCCGGTGTTGCCATACCCAATGCCCCGTTCCCATATCCAACACCGTGTCCATCCTGGCATTCTTGTGCCCCACACCACCCCCATCCCGGTGTTCCCATATCCAATGCCCCGTTCCCATATCCAACACCGTGTCCATCCCGGCATTCCCGTACCCCACCCTGCCCCGATCCCGGCGTTCCCGTACCCGGTGCCACGTCCATCCCACTGTTCCCACATCCAATGTCCCATTCCCATATCCAGTACCACCCCCATCCCGGTGTTCCCATATCCAATGCCCCGTTCCCATATCCAACACCGTGTCCAACCCGGTGTTCCTGTACCCCACACCACCCCCATCCCGGTGTTCCTGTACCCCACACTACCCCCATCCCAGTGTTCCCATACCCAATGCCCCGTTCCCATATCCAACACCGTGTCCATCCCAGTGTTCCCGTACCCCACACCGCCCCGATCCCGTGTTCCCGTACCCGATGCCACCCCGATCCTGGCATTCCAATACCCAATGTTGCCCCCATCCCGGCATTCCCGTACCCAATGTTGCCCCCATCCTGGCATTCCCGTACCCCATGCGGCCCCGATCCCGTGTTCCCATACCCACCCCGCCCCGATCCCGGCATTCCCATACCCGATGCCGCCCCAATCCCGGTGTTCCCATACTCCACACCGCCCCGATCCTGTGTTCCCGTACCCCACGCCGCCCCAATCCCAGCATTCCAATACCCCATGTGGCACTGATCCCGGTGTGCCCGTACCCGATGTTGCCCCCATCCCGGCATTCCCATACCCCATGTGGCCCTCATCCCGGTGTTCCCGTACCCAATGCCACCCCGATCCCGGAGTTCCCGTACCCAATGTGGCCCTGATCCCGTGTTCCTGTACCCACCCCGCCCCGATCCCGGAGTTCCCGTACCCGCTGCCACCCCGATCCCAGCGTTCACGTACCCAATGCTGCCCCGATCCCGGTGTTCCCATACCTGATGCCACTCCAATCCCGGCATTCCCATACCCGATGCCGCCCCAATCCCGTGTTCCCGTACCCCACGCCGCCCCGATCCCGGAGTTCCCGTACCCTCTGCCACCCCGATCCCGGCATTCCCGTACCCCACGCCACCCCAATCCTGGCGTTCCCATCCCCCCTGCCGCACCGATCCCGGCGTTCCCGTACCCCAGCGTGTCCCTCTGTGTGTCCCTGTGTGTGTCCCTGTGTCTCTGTGTGTCTCTGTGTGTCCCTGTGTGTCCCTGTGTGTCCCATTCCTGTATCCCACCCTTCCCCCGTCCCGGTGTTCCCGTACCCCACACCACCCTCATCCCGGTATTCCTGTATCCGACACTGCGTCCATCCCGCTGTTCCCATATCCAATGCTGCGTTCCCATATCCAACACCGTGTCCATCCCGGCGTTCCCGTACCCCACACCCCCCCCATCCCGGTGTTCCCGTATCCAATGCCCCGTTCCCATATCCAACACCGTGTCCATCCCGGCGTTCCCGTACCCCACACCACCCCCATCCCGGTGTTCCCGTATCCAATGCCCCGTTCCCGTACCCAATGCCTCGTCCATCCCACTGTTCCCACATCCAATGTCCCATTCCCATATCCAGTACCACCCCCATCCCGGTGTTGCCATACCCAATGCCCCGTTCCCATATCCAACACCGTGTCCAACCCGGTGTTCCTGTACCCCACACCACCCCCATCCCGGTGTTCCTGTACCCCACACTACCCCCATCCCAGTGTTCCCATACCCAATGCCCCGTTCCCATATCCAACACCGTGTCCATCCCAGTGTTCCCGTACCCCACACCGCCCCGATCCCGTGTTCCCGTACCCGATGCCACCCCGATCCTGGCATTCCAATACCCAATGTTGCCCCCATCCCGG